GGCCACACAAAGGGGACGGGGCAGTGGCTGGGTGGGGGAGGGGCTGGGGCTCGTGGGAACTGCCCTTCCAGGGCCCTGGGGGCGGGGGGGACAAGGGGCAAGGGGGCAGGGGCGAGGCCTCTCCAGGGCTGCCATCCTCAGTCACAGGCTCCAGACACTCCCGGGACATTAGGGCGGGGGTCACCGAGGGGGTGGTTACTAGCTTGCTTCAAGGGGATGGCCTGGGTTTTAAAAGCTTCCCAAAAGACGGCCGCTATCCCTGGCTGCACACACCTCCCCAGGGGCCTGGGGCTCGGCCTTCCGTCCACCCCAGCGCTGTCTCCAGTGGAAAGTCAGTGCCGGGGCTGGCCAGGTTCTTTTGGCAAGCTCACAGCTCCCTTCTCTCTGAGGAGGCTCACAGGGCCACAGCAGGGGACAGTGTCGGGTCACCTTTGGGGCGGGCAGCCCAGGGCTGCAAGGCACTCTGGGGACAGCGTGGGAAGATGAGGTGTGGGCCAGACCCAGGCCTCAGTGGGCAGGTTGGTGCCGGATTGCTTCTTCCTGGGTCGCTGGCTCACCCTGTCCAGCAAGGTGTCAGGCCCACACCCCAGGCCTCACCATCTGTTGGGCAGCTCTAGGGGAGGTCAGAGTGCACGGCTGACCTGGGGGGCCTCAGGACCCGCCCAGGGGCTTGCCAGGGACCAAATGTGCAACACCCACCCTGGGACGGCACACTGGTGACCCCCACCAGCACCCCTCTTCCCGATGTGGGGATCTCAGCACACAGCCCTTGCCATGCAGAGGCCTGTCCAAGGAAGGTGCTGGGTGCCCTTCCGCGTGGCAGGTAGTGGGACGGAGTGAGATTTTATCTTTGCTCTTTCATGCTTTGCCATTTTCCCAGTTCTAAATGAGCAGAAATGTCCTGTTGCTTCAGAATGTGCTCCTGCACCCCCATCGCCCTGCCTGGTGGCCTTAGGCCTTGACTCCTCCTGGACCTGCCTGCAGGGTTGGAAATCCCAGGTTGGCATATCCTGCAGGAGTTCCAGCCAGGCCAGGCCCCAGCCCGACGGACCCCACCTCCCACACCCACCATGGGGCCCATAGGGAGGAGTGCAGGAAACAGGCCGGGGCTGAGGTTACAACAAGCTTGCTCTTTGCTCAGAAACAGGAGGCCCCAAAGAGGCCCCTGCCACCCTCACCCGCTCACCTCACCTTCTCAGGGGGTCAGTGTCTAGCTGGGCTTGGGCACAGAGCAGAAACCCCTCAGGTCAGATCACCCGAGGACCTGGGATCATTCCCAGCCTGGTGGTGGAACCTGAGCTCCACTGGGCCGGGAGGGCAGGGGCTGTGGGAATCCCCAGGGTGGCCAGCATGCAGGAGGGATGCTCAGGTCAACTCAGCCCAGGCCCAGCAGACATCCGGCCCAGTCTCTTGGAGGAGCAGAGCTCCCTTCCCAGGCTCCCAACCCAGCAGGCCACTGCCTGCTGCCCTGCACCCCAGGACACAGGTTCCCCACGTGCTCTGGCCCTGGCAGGTCCCGGGCTCATGTCTTGCCTGCCTCTTTCCCTCAACCCCCTACTTGTCAAGACCCAAGACCTCAGGGGTGTGTGGGGCCAGGGGTGTTGTGTGCAGGGGCTGTGTGCAGCTGCCCAGCCCTGTCTGCCTGGGAGCGCCCAGTCCTCCCTCACCACACCTGTGCCCCAGCCACCTATTGCTTGGGATGCATAGGCTGGCACACCTGCAGGCCTGCAGCCTGGGGCAGTGGGTGTGACCCCTGCACCCAAGTGGGCACCAGGTCAGGTGGGCACCAGGTCAGGTGGGCACCAGGTCAGGTGGGCACACAGGTACTGCTGAAGGCACCTTCTGCGGCCCAGCTCTGGCTCCTTCAGCTGTGGTCACTCCCTTGGTAGTGGGGCTGGGAATTGGGCCCACTCGTGGCTGTGGCTCCCAGCTTTGATGCTCAGAGCCCCCAAACACCCTGGGAACAGACCCCTCAAGCCCTCCTAGCTGCCCACCCCACCCCTAACACATCTCGGCCTCTGCCTTGGTCCTGGGTGCACGTCCCCAGACGGCCAGCTCTGGGGCAGTGGCTGACCAGCTCTTTCCCTCACTCCTCCTTGGGCCCGGAGAGGAGAGGGCCCTGGAGGGTGGACATCCACTCAGACCCACCTGGCTGTGGGTCCATAGGCCTCAACATTCCCAGGATAGCCTGGCTGGTGGCCCGGTCCCCAGGAGGCAGCCACACACCCACGGGCTCATGGCCCGGCCCGCACGGTCCTGGGCGGAAGTGCCCTGTGTCAGGGCTGGTACAGCGCTGTTGGCACCTAGTGGCTGAGGAGCGTGGGAACCAGGCACACGGGGGATCCTGGGCAGGTAGCTGGGAGCCTTCCCAGCCAGTCCTGCCCCCCATTCGCCTGGGCCCTCCCACCCCTCCCTCCCAGTGAGGTTCTGGGGGCGGCGGCTGCCTGCCCTTGGGCTCTCAGACAGGGGGGAGGGGTGGAGGTGTGCAGGCACCCCGCTGTGCTGCTCTGGGCACCCAGCCTTGGCCTCTGCTCAGGGTCCCTGTCAGGCCCCACTCGTCTCTGCCCAGATCCGACGGCACCCTGGAGTGGGCGTCTGTGTGTCCCACGCTGATGGAGGGAGGTGGCGTGAGAACCCTGGCATGGGGTCCTGGCCCGCCAAGTGCCCTGCGACTGAGGAAGCCCTCAGAAGCCCCTTTTCTTCAAAATGGGAGGGCAGAGGCTCTCAGAGCCCGAGTGCTGGGGGACGGACCTCAGGGTATCAGGCAGGTGGGCTCAGGTGGACAATCACTGTCTGAAGGCCAGACGTGTGCTGGGCCACCAGCTCCACTCACAAGGGCAGAGCCATAGCCTCCCTCAGCCCATGGCGGCCACCCGCCCAGGGCAGTCAGTCCAGCAAGGGCTGCTGGCCCTGGAGTGGACAGATGGACAGGGAGGCCCTCAGTGCCAGGCCCCCCTGTGGCTGGGGAGCCCAGGGCCAAGGGCGGGCGCAGCAAGCGGGCCCAGAACCGGCTTTTCCAGCCCTGGCCGGGGCAGGGCCTCCCAGGGCCTTGTGGGTGACAACAAGGCCCACAGCGGGCAGCAGCCGTGGGAAAACCAGCACCGGTGGTTCCCGAGGGTTGGGCCAGGCCCTCACTGACGGCACCCGGTGACTCAGCACGAGCTGGCTGGCCACGCCCAGGCGTGCGCACCTGGCCCAGGTCCTGGGAAGGCCCCAGACCCCATGTGGAGGACTTGGGGGCGTGGGGAGCCCATCCCGCCCTGCTGCACCCTCGCTGCCCCTCCCACACCCACTGGCACTGTCCCTGCAGGTGGCCTGCACAGTGCAGAGTGGGGCTCTGTGGAGGGCAGACCACCTGCTTGTTCTCAGCCCTTCCCAGCCAGACCTGCAGCCAGGGCTCTCCACCTGCACACCTGCCCAGGAAGCCCGCTGGGCCCAGAGACCGGGGCACAGGACCTGCCATCATGGCACAAGGAGCTTCCTGGTGGGAGAGATGGGAGCTAGGGGAAGAGGAAGGGAGGGTCCTGTCTCCCTAGCCCACCCTGGGCCTCCTAGCAGAAGAGCCCCACCTGTCCACCACCTCCAGCCTCCGGCCTCTGAACTGGTGGGGGCTACAATGCTGGAAGCAGGTAGTGCAGCCTCCTACTGTCGAAAGGCCCAGGGGAAGAGAGCATGTGGGACAGGGCCAGTGCCCCCAACATGGCCACACCCGGAGGCTCCAGGGGCCTCGAGGCCCCCTGCCTGCGGCAGCCATGTCATCCGGGGCTCACCCAAAGCCCCTGCATGGGGAGGGGTCCTGGAATAGCCATGTGACCATGGATCTCGGCCTCCTCTTCCCTGCTCCCCCATACAGGTGGCCTGGGAGCCCCACCTCCTCCCCAGGGTGCTCTGACATCAGAAGGGCTGTGACGGGAAGGCCACACCTTCACAGGACCTGCGGGTGCCTGCCTGGGACCTGGCTCTCAGTGGGCACCCAGCCCCCTCCTGGTGTTGCCTGGGGAGTCCTAGGGATTCGACCCATCTCCTTGTCCAGGAAGTGACCACTGGGAAGGCGGTGCACCCCCCTCCAAGTCATGACTTGGGGTGTAAGCTGGTCCCGGCCTCCCCGCCCCCGCCCCCAGCATCACAGTAAGCCTGGCAGATTGGTCATATTCAGAAACCACCCAGAGGGGCTGGGTGTGGCACATACCTGGAATCCTAGCACTTTGGGAAAGCCAGGAGGTGATCACTTGAGCCCAGGAGTTCAAGACCAGCCTGGGCAACACAGTGAGACCTCATCTCTACAAAACATACAAAAGTTAGCTGAGTATGGTGGTGTGCTACTCAGGAGGCTGATGTGGGAAGCTCATTTGAGCCCTGGGGTTTCTGGCTGCAGTGAGCTGTGATTGTGCCACTACACTCCAGCCTGGGTGACAGTGAGACCCCATCTCAAAAAAAAAAAAAAAAAAAAACGGTGCAGGCACGGGGGCCCGTTGTGTGCCCTGGACAAGGCACAAAGTAGTTTTGCTCCAGCCCCCAGCCACTTTCAAGGCCACACCCGCCCCAAGGCAGTGGCAGGCACAGGTATCACAGAGAAATGTGGATGCGGAAATGGACAGGTCAAGGGTTGGGGCGACTATGAGGCTGCCCACGCTGACCCTTTAAGGCTGGACCATGTGTCCAACACCCCAGCTGAGGTGGCCCGGAGGGGACCCAGGCCTGGTTCTGCCCTCGAGGTTTCTGGGATTGGAGAGGGTAGCTGGGCAGAGAGTTCCACAAGTTCTCAAAAAACAGAAGAGGCTTCCCAGGGCCCACGAGAAGCCAGCGCAGTCAGGGAGGGCTTCCAGGAGGCAGTGTGGCCTGAACCCCACAGAACTATGCGTGGGGACAGGAGGGGACCCATTATCTGTCTCTGTGAAACCCCATGGCCAGACCCAAAGCTTCAAGGAACAAGCACAGGGCTGGAATAGGGGCACCTGGAGAAGCCCCCCCCGGGCCTCAGCACCCCCTCTGGCCCCCAGGCCTGCAACTGTGACCAGTACCTGAAGGTCTCCAGGGACATGATGAAGCAGCTCATGTGGCTCAGCAGCCACCAGGAGGGGCCCAGGAGCTCAGGTGAGTGCGTCAGGGTCAGGCACTGGGTCTGTGGGGCCTGGGATGGGTTGACCTGCTGGGGTAGCCAGGGAAAGGGGCCTGTCCTGTCCAGCACTGAGCTTCCTCAGATAAGGGTGGCAGCCAGGTGACAACAGGTGGAAAAAGCACAGCGAGGGTCAGGTGCCCACATGGCCTCTGCTCCCTTCTGTGCGGTGGCAGACCAGGAGATCAGGACACCAGGGCCCTAGGCGACCCTCTGGAGTGGTGTGCACCTCCTTCTCTCTGCTGGGCCCAGGCACGCGGTGCGCGCGCGCGCACACACACACACGCGCACACACACGTGCAGCAGCCCATTTCCCTGCCTGTGAAACTAGACAGAGGGCTTCTTTCTCTCCCTGTGGAGGGTGCAGGCCACCCAAGGACTTTGCAGTTTTAGATCTGCACCAGGGCTGGAACTATGCCCCACCGCCCCGCACTGTTAGAACTGCCGGCCCCCACCCTCAGGAGGGAGGCACCCCAGGGAGGGAGTGGAGGGTGCTGCTCCTGGTCATCCTCAGTCAGGGGCGGGCACGGGGACTAAGAGAATGGAGGTGGATAGAAAGGGGTTAGTCCAGGCCGGGCGCGGTGGCTCATGCCTGTAATCCCAGCACTTTGGGAGGCCGAGGTGGGCGGATCACGAGGTCAGGAGATCGAGACCATCCTGGCTGAAATGGTGAAACCCCGTCTCTACTAAAAATACAAAAAAATTAGCCGAACATGGTGGTAGACGCCTGTAGTCCCCAGTACTCGGGAGGCTGAGGCAGGAGAATGGCGTGAACCCGGGAGGCGGAGCTTGCAGTGAGCTGAGATGGCACCACTGACTCCAACCTGGCGACAGAGCGAGACTCTGTCTCAAAAATAAAAATTAAAAAAAAAAAGGGTCAGTCCAAGTTCAGGGTAGGAGGACGGGGAGCGACCAACCGTCACCCCAGGCAGCCAGCAGAGCACACCCCGGAGAGTGAGGCCGGAGGTAGCCTCCAACCTCAGGCCCCGACGCTCGCAAAGGCACACTCAGGCCAGAGCCCCAGCACATGACGGCACACACGCCGCCCCAGGGTGGTGGGCAACACCCGGATGGGCTGACAGGTGTCACACGGACTGTAGGGTAAGAGCTGGGGCCAGCCAGGGAGGGGTGAGGCAGGGAGGCCAGATGAGGGTCATGGCCTCCTGGGCTTCAAGGAGGAGCTGGGGCTGGGGTGGGGGCCTCGTGCATTCATCCCCGGCTGTAGCTGATCCGGAGCCATCTGTAGAGAAATGCTTGCTGAGCAAATTACGAGGGTCAACAGGAGCAGGGCAGACGCTTCTCCCACCTGCTGGCCAGTGTTCCCTTGGCCGTCGTGCACTCAGCCCTGCAGTGACCCCTGGGTGGATACCGGCCCTGCCTGCCCTGGGCTCTCACTGGGGACTGGGGGGCCTCCAACAGACCCTGAGCCTGGCAGTCCTGGGCCCTGCCCACCCGCCCGCCCTTGTGCTGGCTGATTTCGAAATTCACCACTGGCAGTGGGTTTATCTGCTCATCGCTGCCCCCGCCCCCGCTTGCCGGTTCTCAGGCCCCCAAGAGCCCTAATCAGCAGATCTCACGCCTAGAACATGTTTCCCAGGGACCTTTGAGCCCCAAGACCTTTCTGAGGTGTGAGTTCCCAAGGGAGGGGACCAGGCCGGTACCACAGCTCCTTGGCCCCCTGCCCTCTGCCATCTTCGAAGGCTGGGGTGTGCGTGAAGAGGCCGCACACCATGAGGTCACCGTGCTCAGCCACATGGCTGCGTCGTAGACCCTGGTGGCTGCCAAGCCCCATCCCTAGGACAGTCCCAGACCAGTTTTCATCCTTGACTGACAGGTGACAAGACCACCCTGAGCCAGGAGGTGCAGGAGCCAGGTGAGCCCTGGGACCGCCCACTAAGGACACAGCTGCTTCTCCACGGGCCCGACTTGCCCCAGAATGGGGGACTTGGGTCCCGGCCAGACAGAGGGGGCTCTCTGGGGGCTCTGTGGGGTTCTTGGGGGCCCTAGGGCCCACAAGGTAAGGGGTGGGGTCCCTCGATAGGAGAATTGGGCACAGAGGAGGAAGTGGAGGAGGCAAGGTCAGCAGATAGGTAGCAAGAGGAGCTGCTGAGGAGTGAGCATGGGCTCAGCGTGGGCCGCCAACTGGGCCACCCTGGGAGCAGCCTGGGGGCCGTGCCCGAAGGCTGAGAGCTTAGGGAGTCCACTTCTATCTGTCCAGGCCCAGCCCCAGAGGCGGCCCCTGGGGGCTGCACCTATGACCGTCCCTGCCGCTGGCTGCAGGCAGCTGACCTGCGGGCGGAGACACCGGACATGCTGACCAATGGCACCCGGCTGCAGCTGGCAGGGGTCCCGGTGGGCGTGCTGAGGACACCCGGCCTGCGGCACTTCTACTGCTGCACGCGCTGTGGAAAGGTCTTCTGGGATGGCTCCCACCTGGATCGTGTTGCCACCCACTTCCGAGACGTCCTGGAGAGCGCCCCCAGCCCCCGTGAGCCGAGCCCAGCCCCCAGCCCGGCCAGCAGCCCCTTCTGAGGACAACCAGACAATAAACATGGAAAGTGCCTGCTGCTGGGGCCACGGCCGTGGACTTGCTCACGTGTTTCATGCTCGCCCCACAAACCCCTCGTGGGCCCCTCTTTGTGCCAGCAAGCGCCGGGAGCACCGAGGCGGGGTCCCAACCCGAGCAGCTGTTGGGAGAGGACGAGGGTTTCCAGATGGTCAGGATGCTGGGACCTCTAGCCCGGGGGGACCCACGAGGTCTCCCCATCACCCCCGTCAGGGCTGTGTGGTCCCTGTGGGAGAACGGCAGCCACAGCCCCACTAGAGGCACCTGGGCAGCCAGCCACGGCCAGGGCTCTGCATGCGTGGGCACCAACGTCTCCGTCCTCACAGCTGTCTGAACGTAGCTGCTGCTGCCCTTGTCTGGGAGGAGGCTGAGGCCCAGGCAGCCACTGCTGCCCACCCTGAGGGTCCGAGGGTGCTCTGCCAGGGGGAGCAGGGAGGGCAGGGGGCCCCAGAGGTGGGAGAGGAGGACGAGCCCAGGGAGGGGCCATCCCAGGAATGTGCCCCCTCCCATCACCCACATCCCTTTCCTCTGCTTCCTGCCTGGAGCGGAAATCAGCTCAGATTTGGCCGAGGAGTCGGGCGGAAGCCTCGGGCAGCAGGGTCCTGGGGGCTGGGGAGAAGTAGCTGCCTCTGCCCAGAGTAAGGAGCAGGTTTCGGGTGCGAAGGCCTTGGGCATCCCTGGACTGGCCCAGCCAGGACCTCCCTGTGGGTTCCCGGCCACACCAGGGCTGGCCACTGCCCCTGGGTACCCCTAGGGACTGCAGCCCAGCCCCTTTAGTCCCCAGCAACCCCAGCAGGGGTGTCATGTCACAGATGGGGAGGGTGAGGCTGAGACGGGGAGGGCCTGGCCTGTGTCAGAGCCAACTGTCCGGTTTTGACCTGCCCCCTTGACCTGCTGGGCAGCCGCAGGGCCTGAGCCTGTCAGGTGGGGGCATCAGGGTGAGAGAGCAGGACCCCAGGAAAGGGTCAGGGCCTTCTGGGACTGGGATCTGCTTCCGGGAGGGGCACCCCAGCTCCACATCCTGTCCTGAGGAGGCAGCCCCTGACCGAACTCCTTCCGCCTGGCAGGGTTTAAGAGGGAGTGGCTGAGGGCACCCACCCTCCACCCGGCCTGGCTTCGTCCTGGAGACACTGCTCCCAGCGCAGGCCTGAGTGCTGCTGTTGGCTCTCGGCAGAGGCAGGCAAAGCAGTGCAGAGGCCGCAAGGAGACAGAAATCACGCATCCTCCGTCCTTCCTGGCTGGCTCTGCCTCTGCCCACCATGGCCGTGCTGCGCCATATGTTTCCCGCCTCCACACGTCCCTCACTACCCAGCACAGGCTCGGCCTGGTTCTGCGGCGTCCATCCCAGACCCAGGCTTTGGTGGGGGTGAGGCTGTCTGCTCAGTCCCCACCCCAGGCCAGGTGCTGGAATCTAGCCTCGGTCACTGGGGGTCAGCACCCATCAGGCTGCTTCCCAGGCTAGGGTATAGACACCAGGCTGACCGGCTGGCTGAGGCTGCCAGTGCCAGGCCATGCCCTGAGCGGCCATTCCTGGTGGGCAGGAGCCACCGGTTGCAGGGATTGTCTGTGGCAGTTCCTGCCCGGGCGTCCTTCCTCTGCTGCGGCCTGTGCTGGCCCGGGCTGAGTGTTTGTTATTTGATCTCGATCCTCTCAGCCCTTCTACCAGGTGTCTGGGCTGCTGGGAAGAAACACTCTCCTCTTTCCCACGCTCCCGACACATTTTAATGAATTAGCTGGAAGCCCCGCCCCCACTGCCCGCCACCCTCCCTCCCCGCTCAGTGCCTTTAAGGTGGCCGCAGGCCTCGGCCCAGCTCTGGCCAGCTGCCCCTTCTGCGCTGTCCTCCCTAGGCCCTCCCAGGCGGGCTGGCCGCCCCGCACGGACCTCCCTCCCCATGTTGCCCACTGCTCTGAGCCTCCAGGGAAGGAAAGGAAGGGGCTGCCTGCAGGGAGAAGGGGCCCCACTGTTGCCTTCTGGGGGCGGGTGGGTTACAGGCAGGGCACCCCCGGGCCAGTATCCTCAGGACAGGCAGGGCAGGAAGGACAGGGCCCAGCTGCACAGTCGGAGCTGAGCCCTGTCGCCGGGTCCCAGGGCAGGGCCTCCCAGACAGCAGAAGGCTCCAAGCAACACCAGCAAACACCAGGGGGTCCTCTCGAGCACAAGCATTGGGTGGCTGGAGGTGGACCCCCATGTCCCAGCATTTGGAACAGATGTCCACCTTTTGGATGTCCTTCAGCAAACATTCGGGAAGTGCTGACTTGGAGCTGTTGCCCCCGGCCCCTCCCCCCTTCCCATCCTCAAATGGAACCGCTTCAGGGCCGTGGGTGTGGCCAGGGGAGCTCGGAGTCACGGTGGAGAAGCAGCAAGAACCAGGGCCACTCAGCGAACTCCCTGTGGGCAGTGTGGTGTGGCTGGCCTCTGAGCCCCACAGATGAGCCTGGGCACCCGCCTTGGGCCACAGACCCACTGCAGTGGCGGGCCTCACCAGCTCTGCCTGACCCCGCTCTGGACCCCAGGCAGGGGGTAGGCTCCTGCCACGCAGGGCCGCCACACCAGCCACACTGTCCCTGCCTGGGCGCCCGCGCCGCCGGGCCCTCGCCAGGGGCCGCCGCCGATTTCACGCCCGTGGCGAGGCCCCGCGTTCCCACACCGAGCTCACACAGGGCCCCTTTGTTTGCCGCCGCCACGGATGTCGACGGGACTTTCTCCCAGGCCCTGCTCCTGGCCCACAGCATAGCCAAATGCCTTCTCCAGGCTCGGCTTGAGCCCACCTGGGCTTTGGCCTGTTTGCAAACCATCCACCTTCCAGGGGAGGCCCTGTGCCTGCTGAGGGCCAAGGGCTCCGCCCACCCCCCAGTCATGCCCTCTGCCTCTTGCCAGTCTAGCCTGGCTGGGTCCTGGGCAGATGCACAAAACCCATCAATGCACAGGACTGAGCTCCTGTCCTTCTGACCGTGAACTCAGAGCGCCCTGCACACCCAGCCCTGGTCTGAGGTCCAGAGACGCAGCCAGCACCTGGGACCAGCAGGCAGCCCAGCGGCTACCCCTCCTTAAGAGGCCAAAAGTGCCCAGCAGAGCACGGCAGTCTGGGCCGTGCCATCTCTGCCCCAGGCCTGGGCTCCACAGTGTCCATCTCTGTTCTGCTGGGGACCTACTCTGGGACTCCACTATGACCCCACCTGCACATTGGGGAGCACCCTCCCACCCTCTGTGGCCCCCTTAAGAGCTCCTGGGAGAAGCAGTTAGGCCCAGGGGAGAGGGCTGAACAGAACCAGCGGCCCCAGGAAGACCAGAGTGAGCTCTAAGCTGTGCCTTGGAGGGACAGAGGTTCCCAGGCCACCAGGAGGTCCCCAGGGGCGCCGGACCTTGCTCCAGTCAGCCAGGGTCGGTCCCGAAGCGGGCCTGCCCAGTTTTTCCTGCCAGTGTGAGCACAGCATGGGGTGGGGACACACCCCTGTGGGGAGCCGGATGTGGGGGCATGGAGCGTCCCCAGACAAGGCCTGGCAGGGGGGTCTCCCCAGCCCGAGCTCAGAGCTGCCTGCGCGGAATTCCCGGTTTGGCTTCAGAAGGAATACAAGCCCCAGCCTGCCTGGCCTCCTGCTCCGCGCCTGAGAATCACTCCTCCTTAATTTCCAGCGACCACAGCGAGCTGTAAACTGTAAAACTCTAATGAGGAAATGCGCTGTGCTTCCCCTGCTGGTGCCTCCCGGTCAATTGTTAGAGTGGTCAATAAAAACGGGTTTTATAGTTTGGAAGCCAGGCGTTTCAGAATTCCCTTTTGAGACAGCCCTGGCGCCACACCTGGCCCTGCTCACCTGGGCAGGACCCATGTGTCCGGCATGCTGGTGGGTGGGCAGCAGAGGGAGGCAGGCCGCAGTCCCGACCCTCCCGCGGCACCCCCGCCCTGGACTTCCTCCTGAGAGGACAGCGGAACCCCCTTCACCGCCAGCCGATGAAAGCCGCGGTGGCCGGCCAGAGGCCCCTCGCATCAGTACGGTTGGGGCACACATAGGCTGAGCTGGCGGCCATGAGGCTGCCCGCGCGCGGGAAGGACCCGCGTGGCTGAGGGCCCCATGTCAGGGCCTGGAGTTACCACCCGCGTGGACGGTGAGCCCGGAGGCGCAGGCCGGCCGGGGTCGCCGCGCGCCTCTCCGCTCAGAGGGGTCTCTCCCTCACCACCGGCCTGAGATGCCCGCGAACCCCCTCCCCGAGAGAGGCCGCCCTCGGGGCCACCTGGCGGTCGCGCTCGGGTACCGGGCAAGGCCTGGGTCTGGCTGCGCAGGGAGCTTGGAATTCCCCGGGTGGCCGGAGGGAGAAGGGGCGGGACGACCGCGGAGAGACGCTGAGCGCCCGGGGGGCGCGCGGACGGCGGCAGCGACGGAGCTGGACCCCCCCGGCGGCCACCTGGCCTCCCCCGCCCCAGCGCTGCCGGCGACCAGCGCCCCCTGCCGCGAAGCGCGCCGCCTCCGGGACCCGCCCCCGGACCCCCGCGCCCGGCACCGCCCACGCCCCGCCCCCACGTGGGCGCGGCCCAATCCCGGGGCCGCCGGCGCGCGCGTCACGGGCTGCCATTGTTATGCAAATATAAAGAAGGTAAAAGGCGCCCCGGCGCGGCGGGCGAGCGAGTGCTGCGGCGCGTGGGGAGGTGCCTGGGAACCGCGTGGGAGCCGCAGCCGAGCCGAGCAGGGACCGGGACCGCGCGGCGCCGCCGTCCCCGGCCGGGCCCGGCCCCCGCGAGCCGAGCGCGCGCCCCCGTCGCCCACCCGGGCGCGGCTGGATGCGGCGGGGTCCCCGCGGCGGCGACCCCCGGCCCCGAGCGCCCGGAGCGCCCAGAGGCGGCGTGCGGGGCCCGGGGACGCCGCGCCCTCCATGCGCCGAGGCGCGCCCCGAGACAGCCGGGAGTCCGCGCCGCAGCCGCCGTCCGCGCTGAGCCCCGGCCCGGCCCGCGGCCCGCGCCCGGCGGCAGCATGAGCCAGGCCGAGCTGTCCACCTGCTCCGCGCCTCAGACGCAGCGCATCTTCCAGGAGGCTGTGCGCAAGGGCAACACGCAGGAACTGCAGTCGCTACTGCAGAACATGACCAACTGCGAGTTCAACGTGAACTCGTTCGGGCCCGAGGGCCAGACGGCGCTGCACCAGTCGGTCATCGACGGCAACCTGGAGCTCGTGAAGCTGCTGGTCAAGTTCGGCGCCGATATCCGCCTGGCCAACCGCGACGGCTGGAGCGCGCTGCACATCGCCGCATTCGGCGGCCACCAGGACATCGTGCTATATCTCATCACCAAGGCCAAGTACGCGGCCAGCGGCCGGTGATGTTCGCCGGGACCCCAGAACCCGGTCCTGCGCCCGCGTCGTCTCTGCTGTACCTTCCCGCCAACTACCTCCGTGCGCCCCCGGCTCGCAGGCCCTGCCAGAAGGCCCGCGGCCACGGCGAATACGGCGCGTGCGTCCCGGCCCCGGGGTCCGGCAGCCCCGCCGGCCGAGCGCCTCCCCGCGGCCGAGCCGGGTCCAGCCGGGCCGGAGCAGCTTCCCACGGCCCCCGCCCGCCCGCCGCCTCGCGGGTGGGGGCGGGGCGCGGGCTCCAGCCCCTTTTGAAATTTGAGTCTCGCAACCAGCAAGTTCGGAATCCCGAGATACCGGATCCTCTGCGCAAAATGTTTTCTCCCGAAGGTGAAAGGCGGGCGGCGGGGGCCGAAGGCGGACTCGGAGCGCCCCGCCGCCGCCTGCAGGACCCGCCAGCCGGCCCGGGACGCGCGGATGCCGGCTGCCGCCGAGGAGCAGCCCCGAGGTCCGCGGTCCGCGCTGCTGGCGCACGGCCGAGGAGACGCTCTGTTGTTCGCTGTTCTTGGTGTTCTAAACTATTTATCTTGTGTGTGTACATTTGTGGGTGGAGTTTGTGCGCCTGGATTTTTTTTGTTTGGAAAACACTGTGCGTGGTCAGTGTGGTTTGGGGGGGGAGTAATGCATTTTTTTCTAGTCTTAAAACTAAAAACTTGAGTCTACCATTTCTTGGTTGCACTGAAAATACCGCCCAGCCTGATGGTGTTCCCGTGCTGTCCCTCCCCCTTCCCTTCTCCCCTCGTCTACTACCCCCCCACAGTTCTGTTCCCCCTCCCTCCTTCTCCCTCTCCCTCAAATCCGTGAGTTTTGGGAGCCCCAGGGCCTCTCTCCCCCGCCCCTCCTGGATGAGGCCACCATCCCCCAAACCGGCTTGTTTTGCAGTTTCCCCAGGATCCTGGAAGCTCGCTGGCGCTCGAGGGTGGCGGGAACACGGGGGGTGAAGGTTCGTTACCTTTTCTAGTGCGTTCTATCATAGTTAACGGTTGCACACTTTTTTAAAAAAAGTAAATGGATTTGCCACAATTAAATGTCATAACATTTATGACAGAATATAAAATATTAACATATTTTAAGCCAAGTTTTAGGTGTATTTTTTGAATCTTGGTTATAAACCCAATTTTAAAGGGCGATGTATCCAGCGTTGTGAAGGCAACAGAGTGTACCCATATTTATATTTTTATAAAATACCTATAAGACTGTGAATCTCTCGTGCTAATGGCTGAGTGAATTGAAGGACCGTTTTGCCCCTTTTTAGCCTCCCAGAGCTTCGAGGACTCAATTCGAATCCGAAATCCTGCCGTGGGGGAGGGGTCGCGTCGAGACCTGGGCCCGGGGAGGTTCTCCTGCGTCACTTTCTGTCCTGAAAGGCGCCCTTCCTGGTTTCTGTGGCTCCAGTTTTCTATGCAGCCCCACACCCCTTGTTGTTTTGATCCTGAGAAATAAAAGGGAGGCTGAATTATTCAAATTTAAATGAGGTTTCCCCTTCATGGAAATGCTGCTGACCCTTCGTGCAGAAATGGGGAGCACTTGAGGACACAGGTGGGTGGAGGCCCTTTGTGCGTGGCTGGTCCTATTCGGGCAGCCATCCGTGGCTTTTTATAAAACTTTGTGTGAGAAGAATATATTGATAATGTCAGTGAAACAAGCAGACATTGAAATGGAGGCACAGATTACTCCACAAGGAGTTCTGTATATTTTTTCTAGATGCAAATACCTTTTTAATTATGTTAATTAATGTTAAGACTTTCTAGGCTTATATCGAAGCTGTGTGTGGGTCACGGGATGATCACTTCTAACTGGATAAAGTTTGTGCAGCACATTTCTGAGTGTACGATATTGACTTGTAGCCCAGCGTGAAAAATTTATAAATAAATTTTTCATTGATCTTTTTATATTAAAAAAAAAAGTTTGTTGGTCCTTCTTGGCTTTGGCACAAGTTGCAGAACACCCTCTTTGGGGACGAGGGTTAGGCTGCGACACAGTTTGTGGGTGCTGGGTGCACAATGCTTGGCTTGTATTTGCCTGAAGACAGAGCCTGGTAAACTCGCTCCCAGCCCCATGCAACGGCCAAGCCCAACCTGGCTGCACACAGGACTCATGAGGACCCAGCGCCTCCAGAGTGCCCAGAGCTGGCGTCACAGCCTCTGCTCCGTTCCCCAGCAGAGCGGCTGAGACCTCCACCAGAGAGGACAGTTTGGCCTGAAGCCCTGCCCACTCCTACCCTCTAGGGGGTCATGCTGGAGGGTGCCTGCTGCACAGAAGGGGGTATCTTGTAAATTGGGGGAAAATATCATAGCTGCTCACTCCTGGCAAGTAGAAAGTCCCCTGGAGGCACCTGGGAGCTCTGGAGGCCCACACAGGCCTGGAGTCAAACACCCCAAAGAACACAGACCCTGAGTTAGAGGAGCGTCGGGGCTGAGCACCCCCATTCGCAAGAGAGGAGAGCAGAGCAGGATGACTGTTGCCAGCACCTGATAGAAAGGAGCAGAAACTCTTGGCCCACTCCTGAGATGCCTTTGGGGCCCTGGGGGCGCTGTACAGGGCTGCAAGGGAGCACGCCCTCCCCCAGCAAGAGCAGCCAGCAGGGAGAACTTGGAGAAGGGTAAAGACCTGGAGTTACAAGGTAACAACTTTTCAAACCCCTCCGCGGAATGTAAGGGGCATCTGCTTCCCTAAACCGTGTCCCCAGAAGGGCTGCCCTTCCCACAAACTTTCCCCACGCCTCCGCCTTCCTACTCTGCACTGCTGCCCTGTTTACCCTTGGTTTTCCAGGCGCGTTTTCCGTCGGTTACGCATTTCCTATCCTGCAGAATCAGCCTGGGAGACGGGCCAGCTCCCTGAAGCAGGCTCTGGGAAGTCTTGCCCTGGGTCAGCCCAGGGATGCCCCAGCCGTTGGAAAGGAGAGTGGCCACAAGAACCTGGACATGATTGGGATAACCAGAGGATGAGGTCAGGCAGCCCCAGTGATGGCCAGGGCTATGCTGGACCACGCCACACTTCCCCACCCAGGGTCTGAAAAACAAAGGTAACATTTGTTACTGGCATTAGCCTGCAGGTGGGTGGGGTCCCAGCCAGTGGCTGCCCCTACAATATCCGGGAAGTTCTCCCACTGTGGAGAGGCCTGGCCTGGCACCAGGGGCCTCCCAGGCACATGGCTGCCACCCCAGGGTACTCTTTGCAGCTCCCTTAAATTCTCTCTTCTGAAAGATACATTTGACGGAGAAAGGCCTTGTGCTGCTTTTCTCTCCAGCAGGAACAAAAGGAAGCCCGCCCAGTCCCGTGGGCAGCTGAGGAGAGGAGGGCTGAGAGGGTGGAGCCCTGGGGGGGGTCTGCCTCCTCCCCAGGTGCCACTGGGGCACTGACCAGCCCGGATGGCTGGGGACAGCCTCAATGACCTTCCTTGCCAGGCACAGCCCTAGGGGGCAGGCAGACACACTCTAAAACCGCGATTGTCTTCCCACCTCTTGGGGTCAGATCTATGAATGAAATCTCAGCTGGGAGGGTCCAGGTGTCGAGAGCCCAGGAGGGCGGTCTGGGGGCGCTGAACACGGCCCACGTATTAGGCCTACAGGCTTGTCCTTGTTAGGGAGCCCTGGGTAGCACATTCCTAGAATGAGCAGCTCAGTGGAGGGGGAGGCTGGCCACCTGTGCACCAAGAGTGGGCCTCCCTGGCCACAAGGGGAGGGGGGCAGCTCTGGGGTACAGGCAAAGAGGAGGAAGTCCCTGGTCTCTGAATATGGCCAGGTCAACGCTGCTGCGTGTCTCTGATGCCTGTTTCCCTCCCGAGTTCAGTGGCCTGTGCCCACACTTCTTCCAGGGCCTCTGGGCTCAGCAGACCACGTACTGCGGCAGGGTATTGGTGGGTATTAGCAGGTATGGTGGGTACTGGCCTACAGCAGAGTTACTGGGGAGTCTCCAACCCCCCTCCCCAGGCAGGCCCCTTTGTGGCCAGGGTGAGAAAGATGGTCTGGGGGGCCCAGCCTACACCGTCAGCCCTGGCCTCCCAGATCTGCAGGTGTGCCTTGGAGGCCAGGTGAGGGGTCCAGCCGAGAGGCACGGAGGAGAGCCAGGGTGGAGGGGTTGGCAGGTGGGGGCTGGGTCCCTGGGAACCCCTGAGAGAAAGGAGACAGTCCCAGCAAGGTCAGGGCCTGCCCCACATCCCCCGCCAGGACTGCTGGGCTCCCGTCCAACTGTCTGTCTCTGATCTGACCCCGGCTGGAGGCAGGAAGCGCTGACGTTGGAACGGACGCCACGGAAAGACCAGGAAATGCAGGAAGATGGTCAGCTAGAAAGAGTGATGTCTAAAGCCAGCAGGCGTGGGAGCCAGGACACAGCAGGCCAAAGGAGGGTGGACAGGACTTAGAAGCCAGGGAGACGGGGTGCGGGGAAGGAAGAGCGGGAAGGAGCTGCCCGCTGGGGGTCTGTCCCCCAAAGTCCTCGTAGCTCAGCACAGAGTGGGACAGAGGTGTCGTGGACACGAGAACACCCGGCGCACAGAGCCTCCAACCTCGTGAAGGCCAGCTGCCCCTGAAGCTCCTTGAGACTGCGGGGAGGAGGCAGCGTCCACCTGGGCCTTGAAGGACGGGAAAGGAGGCTCCCAGCCAGGGACAGCTGGGGAACGAAGCCTGAGGCCGGGATTCGAGGGCTCAGGCCACGGGAGGGGGCTGTGGAAGGTCTGGGAACCTCTGCAACTGCCCCTTCCGGGGCCTCCAGTGCAGACCCTCCAGGACTTGGGGGTCCCCGGGAGGCCGCCCTCCACCCATACCCGCACACTCAGGCTCCACTGCTCGGAGCCGCTCCCCCCCGCTGGAAACCCCCAACACCCGTCCGGCGCATTCTTCCGACCGTCCTCCGCGCGTCCGTCTGTCGGTCTTTCTTCTCTCGCCCCTCCAAAGCCGCGGCCCCCATTCATTCCCGAGGCCTCTGCCCTTTCCTCCGCGCCGTCCGGCTCGGCGAGCAGCTGCTATGCTAATGAGGGCGGGGGGCTGGGGCCGGGGTGCGGGGGGAGGGAGCCGGGCCGTGGGGGGCATGTGGGGGTGGGGGCGGCCGCTCACAAAGCCCGATCTCTGCATTCAAAACCAGCCGGGCCATTCCGGTCCCCAGCGCGCCGGGCGGGGACGGTGGAGACGGCGGGGGCGGGGCGCCTGCGCACCCGGAAAGCGCCAGCGCAGCGAAGGGCGAGGGCAGAGTCGAGGGCTGGGCTGAGGGGGTGCAGCCGTCTCGCAGTGCCGCGCACCCACTCGCCCCGGCGCTGGGGTCGCGGCCTGGGACGCGCGGCTAGTTCAGGGGGCCCCTCCCCGCCCACCAGACGCAGCCGCGCGTGGGGCTCGAGTGCGCCCGGCGCAGGTGGGGAGGGGACTCCGACCCAGCGCTGACCTCGCCGGAGACCCCGCCCGCCCCGGCCCGGCCCGCGGGGGGCATGCGCGGCAGGGGAGGGGGTGCGCCCGGGGCTCCCACCGACCTCGCCCGGGCGCAAGGGCCGGAGCCCCCGGGTCCCCGAGCCTCGGAGCCGCCGCGGCGGTGCTGCCGCCCTGTGGCCGCCGTCCGCACTGCGCCTCGGGCCCGGCCGCGCTCCCGCGCGTACTCCCCCAGAGTCCGCCCTGCCCCGGACCCCCGCGGGCCCCAAGTCTTCCTGCCCGCGCCTCGGCCCCAGGGAAGCGGGCAGGCAGGGCGGGCGCCGGGGCCGATGGCGGGGCCATGTGGGCTTTGCTGGCTCCAGAGAGGGGCGGGGTGGGAGGCTGCGGTGAGCCGGGCCCCAATGCCCGGAGGTCAAGGGCGCCCTGGGGCAGAGGAAGTGGCAGGTACCCCCAGAAGAACCCCCAGACCAGGGTCTGGAAATTGACCCCTTCATAGTCCTAAACAGGCAGTTGGCAATGGTGTGCTATTCTCCACGCGGTCCGACGGGAAGGGGAGGCCCTGGGGCCGCAACGAGTAAGTAGATAGTCAGCAGGACCCTGTGGACGCGGCCACCCACATGTCACACTTAGGGTGGGAGCAGGACCCGGCGCCCATCCCTCAGGACCGCCGGGAGCCAGGCCCTCTGGGCCGTAGGTGCCGCTACATGGGCCATGGTGCCTCAGCAGAGGAGGCCGGCGCTGGAATTCCAGACTCGTCCTGGCTTCCCCGCCGCACTCCTCTCACGGAAGTGGCTGTGCCGGAGGCGCAGGAACAGAACTGTGTTCAGACACTTGCGCGCTCAGAGATGGAGCCTGGAGACCTGGTTTACACCCGTTATGTGTTTAAATGGATAAAACTTTCCGCAGGTCTGTGAGCTCCTCACTAGGTCCCCACTGCCATCTGCGGGCCCACAGACAACCCACAAAGGAATGAAACTCAAAATATCCCATAAACTTTCCAAAGAGAAATGACAAAACTGAAATAGTAGTGGTGTCAAGACACAGTTAATTTCGCAAACCAATGAAGCTGGGGTGGGTGGCCCAGGGCTCCCCAGACTTTATGGATGGGCCTTTTGTTCACATGGCTCAAAATGGCAGCCCAGATCCAGCCATCACACCTGCACTCCATCCCGCAGAAAGGAGGCAGGGCGCTCTCCTTCAAGGATACCTCCCAAGAGTTGCGTTGCCACAGCTGCTCACATCCCATTGGCGACAACGTAGTCATACGACCTACCTCAGTGCAAGGGAGGCTGGGAAATGTAGTCTTTAATCTGTGAAATGTGCCCGCTTAAAACGAAGCCCTGGAGGAAGAAGAACTAGCGATGCGGGGGGTGGGGGCTGGGTGGATGGCAGGCTGTGCCTCCCTCGGTGGCGTCAACGTCCTGGCCATGTTGTCACATGAACTTGCTGCCAAAATTCCCAAGCCATGCGCTCACAGTCTGTGCAGTGATGACTGTGATAAACACAGCTCAGTTAAAAATAAACATTATTTTATAGATTAGCTGAACAATACAATGTCCC